ATAGTAATCATTGGGAGAAACAGAAACACGACGTGAGTATTCACCAAAACGAGGAATTGTGTTTCGCAATCGTTCATGTACACAACACCCTCCCAATGCTGAAAGAAATCCTGTATAGTTCAACCATTCAGTTAATTGAGCCTATAATAAATATGAATTAAAAAGAGATGAGTAATATTCATTAAAAAAATAAGTATCGATTTATTTATTAAACTTTATCCCCGTCATAAATCCAATAACAGTAACAGTTTATGTAATTTTTAAAGGATTAAACTATTTTTTTTTTTGTCCTTAGTACCTGTTGCAAGTGATCTTGAGCAATTAATCTTGTTAGGTTTTGCCATCTAGACCAAGCTTCTTCCCATGCACCAAGATTACCAGCATTAGGTTGAGTCATTGACCTTAATAATTTCCTAATTCGTCGTTGTTGAGCCATTCTACCAGGTACAGGATATGGTACAGTAGATAACTCTTTGTAAATGTTTATATTATCAACGATAGTCATTTGTGAAGGTGGAAACTCTGGTGGAGCTTCCATATCATTAGCAAGATTTTCAGAAGTAAGTTCAGCTTCCAAACATAATTGACCAAAACAATTTACAGCTGTTAAACAAATTTCAGGATCAGGTGAACATAACATTACTAGCAAGGCACTTTCTAGTCTTATGCATGAAGTGTGACGAAGTGCAACATTATTTCCTTTCGATTGTTTATCTTTATGAGCTTTTAAAAATTCATTACGACGCACTAATAGTTGTGATAATAAATCCAACATATCTTTAGCAACAGTGTCTCGTTCTTTTGAATCCAATATCAAGTTGGCAATTGAAAGAATTATTTGAGAACTATATAAATTTTAAAATAAATACAAGTATCAATATAAAATTTCATTGTTTCATGGAATTGTAAATGCATGATAATAAATATTGCATTTCTTATACCTTATATGCCAAAATTGTTGCATCTTATTATCCGGAGATCCCCAGAGTTCAATAAGCTCCACATTATGAAATTCCAGTAAAGTCTCAGCCGCGGCTGTTCGAATAGCAACATTTGAATCCTTCAAGCAATCATTGATAGCAAGAATTATTGATTG